GAACTTGGAGCACTAGTGTGGTGCAGCCTGTATGCCTCGGAGGGTGCTGATCTTCGTACTGGTTGCAAGAATGCAGCTGGTCAGCCTAACCCTACCGCGTCAGAAGCCCTCTCGCATAGGAGGATGCATTCGGGAGCCACCCTGCAAGCCAGGCATCGCGTTCGCAGGAGGCTCCGCTCGTGCACTAAAGTGAAAGCGCATCAGGACCCAGAAGAAGCCAACGTCTCAGCCTCCGAGCGCTTCGCTCGTCAAGGGGAATGTTTCGCGGATCGGATTGCCAAGTGCGCGCTGTCGCGCCACCCCGCCGCTGCTCCGCGAGACCTCGAGGAGCTCGACATAACTTTTGAGATTGCTACGCATGTTTTGAGGCTTGGCACGGCAGTCCTTCTGCAGTGGCCATAGTTTGAATTCAGAGGTTGTGACAGAGCTCTTTCCCCGCCCTCGGCCCCGAAGGTGGTGCTGACCCACTCTTTGAAACGCTCGAGTGGGCTTTGGCGGTGTGAGGGGTGCTTGAAACTTTCCACGGTGCTCGAGGATAAACGTCCTCCCCCCCGACAGCGCGTGACCTGGGAAGTCAAAACTTGATCAAGATGTTCTAGAGAAACTAGGACACAGGGTAATCGCCCTGCCTTGCTCCGATGGCTCTCACATTTTTCTGTGTTTATCTTGTCATTTTTTATCAGAGGGGTGCCCAGGTGCCTGGTTTGGGCAGATGTTGCAAGCCTCCCACCACCACTGGAATTCGGAATTTGAGAAAACGCAAGAAAGGATTACACCCTGACAAGGAGGGAGTCCACGTCTGCATTGATGAATTCATGGCATGAATGTAATGATTCATTCTCGGCATAGTGGAAGCTTCGCTTCTGTGTTGTTGTCCCGTCACGGAAGCCACGTGGTGGATTGCAAGAGAAAGGAAGATAAGGGTGAGGAGGAGGAGGAGGTGGATAAAGAGGGCGAGGAGCACGGAAACGGAGGCGGCAGGAGCAGGAGGAGGAGGAGGAGAAACTTGAGGGGAACGGGGAGGAGGTTGAGAAGGTTGAGGATTAGGATTAGGATGACGATGCTGATGCTGATGTTGATGATGATGATGCGGATGCTGATGATGCTGATCATGATTGTGATGGTGATGGTGACGAGAATGATGGTGCTGATCAAGGCGATGATGATGGTAATCGTGGTGATGCTGATGATGATTGTGATGGTGACGATGGGATGGTGATGAAGATGAGGAGGAGGAGAGGAACGTGGAGTGAGGTGGAAGGAGGAGGAGGCGCAGAATGTGAGGAGGACGAGATTCGAGGATCGAGGTGCTCTTCCTGGAGGTTTTTGATCGTCCTGGGGCGTCCGCGTGGCCACGGCTGGATCCGCCTCGAAGTTCTGGGCAGAGCGAACGCCAGGAGAGGTCCACGGATTGACTTTTGACTCCCAGGGGTGGGCGGGCTCAGGTTTAAGATCCGGGGTTTTCGGATGGTTTTGTAGGTTCTCGGCTGCTGTGCAGGCCTGGGGTGGTTTCTGGCAGCTCCGCCTCCTCGAGAGCGTTGCGGGGATACTGGAATCGCCCACCTGGCCGCCGGAGACCAAGTTTTTGGCCCGAGCACACCTCCGCCACGAAGGAGGCGGGTCTTGAGGGAAACGGGTCAGCTGTGCACACGCGTTGACCAGGATGTGTGTTTCTGTTGCAGAGCCCCTTGCATAACACATGCGATGCGGGGCACATGCGCGCGCCGCCGTGCGTATGTCAACTCATAAATACATTTCAAGAGAGATGCTGCCTGCATTGTGCGCGCATTCGACCAAAATCACAAAGCCTTAGCCTGGTCTGACCCATTCGTCAGATGAGGCCATGGGGGCCACACGCGCGCGTATGTCCAACAAGCTCAACAACCAGCGCGAGGCCACCAATTCGATCAAAGGATGCTATGCGGGCCACCTGCGCGTGCCTCCGCGCGCGCGCGTCTAAACCTTGCCAAAGTCATTGGTGTTCCCACACTATGTGCAAAGATATGTTCAACAGCAATCGGAGCCCCAGTGGTCGTTCAAGCGGTTTACGCAAGGGGTCTGGATTATCTTTGCGCGCACTTCCTCACAATCTGTGACACAATCCTCATCAGCACACTCGTTATCATCATCGCGATCGCCATCAATGCCATCGACATCGTCGCCATCACCATCGACCACATTATTACAGCCGCCGTCATCGTCGATGTCGTCGATGTTGTCGCCCTCGTCATTTATCGCAACCGTCATGAGCATCATCGTCATCGCCGTCGTCGCCGATGTTGTCCTTACCGGCATCACTCGCCCGCCTGCGCTTGTTTAGACTTGCGAGCAAGTTCCGATAGGTATGTTCATTGACGCTCTCTTGAGTTTTGCCAAGTAGTTGCGGGTGAGCGGGTGTCATGTTCGCACGAGCGTTGGGTGTGATCACGCGGGATGCGGTCCGTATGTATTACGCCACGCTGCTTGCACCGCATAGAGTGCACACGATAATGAAATCATCTATTGTGTTGGGCTTCGCGCTGGCAAGCAGCAGCAGCGCTGCTTCTTCTTTGCGTAGCATTCGACTTGCCAGTTTGAATGTTTCCTTGACAGTTCTGTTCCAGCAGCCGACCTGCTCTGCCCTTGCCGCATCAAGCCAAGCATCGGTTCAAGCATATTGAAGACTACGGAGTGAATAGCAACAGCACGTTCAAATACATATTGTTTTTGCACGGAGTGCGATTACAGAAAGTTGGCGAACACCGCGTGGCCTTGACCGATTGAGGATGGTTTTATGAGAAAGACCGAAAAGGAAGATCTTAGATCGAGGGGACTGGTCGCGGATCGCGAAGGAGCATCGTGGGCCGAGGATCGAGGAGAGTCCTAGCCTCTGGGAGCATCGAGGGAGGAGGTGCGATGATCGAGGAGGTGAGCCCGGCGATCGAGCAGGAGGATCGTGTATGGAGGAGGAGGAGGAGGAGGAGGAGGAGGAGGGGGATCGATGATCTAGATGGATCCTGATGATCCTGGCCCCGAGACCCATGTCTGCCCAAATGTGGATGCTCCACAACGCGGACCCCAGGACGTCAGTACTTGCTCCTCAGGGGATTGTTCACCTCGAGCTATGTTTGACTGTCCGTGGGCCCGGTGAGGGCAACTAGAGGCCAAAAATCTCCGCGGCAGCCAAGGGAATGATGCCGCGATCAGGGGGGGGATATCATGGTCGGGGCTATGATATCTGCCCGGATGTCATGGCCCCTCGTTATGATGTCGGAACACTCCTTGTCCCCCCCCCGCCTGGGCCGCGGACGTGCCTCGGGTCATCTTTCGGACCCCCCTCTTGGACGCCCGCCCTCCTCTTGGACGCCACCAGATGCTTAAGAATTGGCAACGACCCTCCATCGCGGTGCGAGGAGGTCCGTGGGCTTGGGGGCGACAAGCGTCGACCCCCAGCGCCTCTCCTCGGGTGCAGTTCTGCTGCCGAGAACGTCGAGTTCAATCCAGCCGTGGCGACCAGAAGGCCCAAGGACGCCCCAGAAAGCTTCGACTCCCTATGGTCAGGATCTTTGCCTTATCCTGACGCGCCGCGTTCTAGCCCACCACGCATCGGCGGGACACGCTAACCTTGTCCTGATCTCCAGGCGTCAGCGTCCCGAGCTTTTCGTAGCCCCCTGCCGAGCGGAGCGACACTCCGTCTACTTAGAAGTTATAGCGCGTCGCCGTGGCCGCCGCTTCGACACGCTAAGCAAAAACTTCTCACCGTCACTTCGAAGTTCGAAGTTCGAATCCTTTGAGCAACATCCCAGAGGCCTTGCGCGGCGCGCAGTACTTGTATTGTCTTGTCCACACGTCCGCCTCGCTAGATACGGGACGACGTTCGCGCGGCGATGTTCCGACGTAAGTCCGACGCAAGTCCGACGTGAGCCCGAGGGAATTCGATGTGAACCAACGTGGATCCGACGTGAATCCGACGTAACTCCGATCAAGTGCCCGCGGAGGAGGGAGGAGGGAGGAGGAGGAGGAGGAGGAGGAGGAGGAGGAGGAGGAGGAGGAGGAGGAGGAGGAGGAGGGAGGAGGAGGAAGGAGGAGGGAGGAGGAGGGAGGAGCATTTCCTTGTAACGAATCCTCCCTCGTCGCCGCCCTGCCCGCCTCGACTACGGGACGTGCAGGCTGGGCCGGCCACTGGCCTCCCGAGGCAGGCCCGGCCTGGTAGCAGAGGGCGAGCACGATGGTCGATCGGTGCCCACGCGCAGAGCATTATTTTGTCCGACGTGCGGCCCCTCGAGACCTGATCGGGTCTGGCGCTCCTGCCCCTGCCCGAAGCCAGACCTCCTCGGGTTGTGAAGCGAGTAGCCACGGAAGGTTTTCGGACGTTGTCGGCCTCGGGTTGCGGGAGGTTTTTGTCGATGCATTCCAGCGGCTGCGCCTCGACGAGGGTTTTGCGGGAATGGTCAGATCGTCCCAGGCGGCCGCCAGAGGCCCGAATGATGATTCGAAGGCCAACCGGGGAGGAAGCCGAGACATGCTCGCGTCGTGAAAAACATCAGGACGGAAGGTTTCTCGCCGTTTCTGTTCATCCCCGGCACTGTAGGCACACTGAGCAGGAATTTGTCATGGCAACGGGAGCCCCACGATGACCTGATCTCTCGATGAGGCCGCAGAGCCCCGGGGCAACTTGCGAAGCTCAGGGTCGACGAAGGATGCGCCCCTGCTAGCAGTATTTCGGATCGTCCTGCCCATCGCAGGTCGGCTCAAGAGGCCTCCCTGCGTTAGCCTGGCGACCTTTGGATTCGCCCTGCAGCTGCCAGCTGCCACATCGTTGACTCGAGCAGGGATGCTTGACCTCCGTCCTCCTTCATAGCAGCAATGCTCTGTTGCACGTGCCTCCTGTACGCCCGTCGTGGTGAGGGTACGGCCCTGCCTGGCTCTGCCCCGCGGCCCCTCGGGAGGTGGCCGCGGCTGGCCCTCCCTGCGGGGGAGACGTCAACGAGACAAGTCAGTGGAAATAGCCACGCTCGCAGGAGGCGCCGCTCGCTGCCCGCGGTGCCGGAGAACGGGGCCCTGGCGTGGTGCGACGGGGAGGATGACTGGTACGATCGACACGGGTACGGAAATATCGGGCACGAAGATTGACAGCAGATCTTGCCCATTTTGAACCGGATTCGTTGGCGGTGTCGCCGTGGAACCTTTCTACTTGGGAAAAAGGTCGCCTGCCCAACAGTGGCCGCTGTCGATTACGGATCGTAAGATTCCAGATTCGGACGAACCTCTACCCTTACGCCTTGCCTCGTGCTTTTGCCCGCGATCCTGATTGACGAATGACTCAGGTTCGCTCGTCCCTAATCATCAGGTCCCCCCCCCTGTCACAGTCGCATCTTGATGTGAATTCGTTTCAGTCCCAATCCTCGTATATACACCTCCCATTTCTCTGTGGCTGCGGGGTGCGCAGGGGGCCGCACTGGACCTCGGGCGCAATTAATCCGGGAAGCGGCATAGATCAAGAATGGGGTCCAGTAGCAGGGTCTTTGCGTACTTACTTGTCCCATGAGGTTCTGACGTACGTATGCACAAATGCCCGCTACGCAGATGCCAGCTCGAAAATCGGTTCCAGAGCTTCACGCCCTTTGCTTTTGATGCTGCCCCCGCCCCTACGAGATGGTCTCTGCGGGAAGTGCTAGGGTGCGAGAAGCGTACGCTGGGATCTCCGCGCTGAATAGCTCCGCACATTCGTTTTGCATCTGATCGCGGTGAACTTGGAAGGGTCGCAGTGTGGGGGTCGCGCCCGTTCTGTGCACAATTCGTGGTATTGGGTGTCGTGTTCGTTTTGCCCGTGCACTTCGAGCGCGCCAAGAGGAGAGTTGAAGACTGTTGTTCGAAAGTGAGGCCCTGAGCGGGGTGGGCCCTCAGGACAGGGAGGGGCGTCTTGGTTGAGTCGTATTGAGGAGCGCCTCCTCATCTCAGGGCCTGTCTCAGGGCCCAAATCTGTAAGTATACTATAGGCAACACATGCAGTTCAGGAGTTCCGCACGCATTTCTTGGCTCGGCGCTGGACCCCCATAGCGGTGCCATCGGAGCCACCCCTGGTGCGCTCCGCATCGCCGATCCGATACATCCTCGATGGCTTCGGCATTGCTTCATATATTGCGTAGTATTCTTGTCGTCTTCCACAGAAAGATATTGACGAAGGCGTGCCTCCGTTTCGGAGGCTTCTGGGCGTTTCTCCAGATTGTCGTGGCCACGATTGGACGCAGCTCGGACAACTTGCCAGAATTGACCGCGGGAGATGTCTGGGGGCCGATCTTGAGTGGAACTAAAAGTGTGGTAAGCATACTGCTGCCCCCTGGTTTCGCTGGGGATACTTGACCAAAACGCACAGAGGTACCTGCACAGCAGGCACTTCAAATCAGAAATTGGCCTGCCAATCCGTACTCCACAAAAACGTCTTATCCCCCGATTGACCCGCAGAGCCTCGGGCCACCTTGCGAAGTTCAGCGTCGACGAAGACGAAGGATGTTCCTTCACCCCCCTGATAGCAAAATGTGTTGCCGCGCGTTCCTGCTGTATGTTTCTGTTCTCCCAGGTGCGACGTGGCGCGCGCCATGTCGCAGGAGGACCTTCTCCCACATCGCCGCTGTCGTGAGACCCTGTTCTCGTCACGTGCACCAGGCTTGGTATCGTGCGCTCGCCGCCTGGACGATGGGACGCCGACGCCTGCGACTGCCACCGCCGCCAGATTTCTCCCAATAAATTTCGACGACGACGACGATGCTGCCAGACCTCTCCTGATTGGTGAGCGACGCTGGGCTGCGGAGACGGGCTGGCGGCGACGAGGCAGTTCACCATCGGCGTCGACGGCGGTGGCCGCAACAACGGCGGAGAGGGCGGCGGCGGCGAGGGCACATGGTGAGGTTTTGTTTCGGCCTATCCGCTGGATCGTTGCTACAATGTGGATGATGGCCGCCGTCTTCCCCTGTCGAGAGGGGCTGGCCCAAATGGCGGAGCGCCTCCTCGCGCACGTGTGCGCACGGCTCGAACGGCAGTGGGCCACCTCACATGGCTCCCCAGGCCTTCCATGGCAGACGCGTTCCGCCGAGAGCTGCTTGATCTGGTGCCGGCCAGACCCGTCGTGCGAGGGACTCGTGGCCACAACGCGCCTCGGAATAAAACTCAGCTTGTTATCCAACCCCCTCGCCCCCGGATTATTCAATGTTGATGGACGCGCGCAGCGCGGCCCGCGGGGTCAACAAAGAAATGCAGTCGCCAGGGTCGGCGTGAACGTTGGAATTGGAGGCCCGGGGACGTCGCCACATCGTGGGAGAAACTTGCGTTTGATTTGGAGGAGGGATGTGGTTCGCGGACTCGGGAGCCTGCTGGGGGTCTGAGGTGGCCCTGTAATGGTTCCCGCTAGCAGGTAGGGGGGGCGCGGTTCGAGGTTATGGGTTCGGGGAAGTTTTCTGCCTTCTTCGGCCTCTGGGGACCGTTTTCGGGCTCCGGGACAGTGAAGAACGGTTTCGGAGTAAACAATTGCATCAGGGTGACCCCAGGGGGGGTCTGGGGATTCTGGGGATAGATTTTTAGCGGAGTTGGCCTCACCCCCCTCTTCGCTGAGTTTTTGGTGCCTCAACCAGCTTAGACCCCCCCGCCGGCGGCGCCTTCAAGTTCGGCGGCCCCCGGACCGTGTGGCGACCACACCTCGTGGTGGGTCCGTGGGGATTTGGGGTCACGGCGCGGAGTTGGGACCCGGGTCGTTCCGCGAGGGTGTCTCGGACGATTGGGGCTTCCAGGGTCCCAAAAGCATGCGGTGACGGACCACGCGGTGAGGTTGGGGATTCCAAGGTCATCTCGCGGTCCGTCACCACAAGGTTCGGAACCCCGACGCAGTTTTGGCCGAGTTCGCCAGCCGCGGTCGCTCCATTTGTGCTGGGGGATGCCCTGTGGCGGCAGTGGGCCTGGTCCTCAGCACCGCCGCTGAAAAGCGAGACAGCAGGCAAGGTTGGTCCCCTGCCTCCCTCACCTGTTTCTACTGTTTTCCGTTGGCGCACCTCAGGAAGGTGCCACCACCGCAGACCTCTTCAGGGCCGGGCGGGCTGGCAAGCTTGCCGCGCCAGAGCCGAGTGCTGCGCGGCGCGCGGGTGCTGAGGGGAGGAGGGAGCCAACTGAAGAGTCAGAGTGACACCAGCAGTTGGTCCCCTGCCTCCCTCACCTGTTTCTACTGCTTTCCGTTGGCGCACACCTCAGGAAGGTGCCACCAATGGAAACCAATGGAAAACGGGAGAACACCAGGTCAGGAACCCTCATCATCAGAAGCTGCGCAAAGCAATTCGGCCAGGACTCGCGACTCAATAGCAGCAGGGGGGATATAAGCTGTAACTGCCCCACTTCGCCAGCCCCCGCGGGCGCAAGCAGCTGCGAACCCGTCTGTGCCGTGTACGTCCTTCGCAGCGCCGTGGCGGAAGGCATGGGGAGCAATTCCCAATGCCTCTGCCGCGGGCATGCCTAATTGCGGCCACGAAGTCCTCGCGGAGGCCGGCGAGGAACTTGGCGTAGTACCCAGGCGGGTACCTTTCTGCGTTCATGTCACGACGGCCTGCGAGTAGCCATGAGGCCCACATGTGCACGCATAGCAGAGGGTCGGCGGCGCAGACGCACTTGGCTTCAAGAGTGGACAGCGCATGAGATTTACCTTTACGTCTGATGGGGCCAAAACGCACGTTCCCCTATGCACACACAGCAGACATGGCCTCAACTGTCCTAGGAGTTCCGACGGGACTCCCATGCTACGGAAGAAACTCCCAGTGTCAGCACAGTGGGCCAAGAGTTTCCTCAACAGATCTTTATTGATTCGCGGCCTCGGGGCCGCTGGCGGCTGCAGCTTCCTCGCGCCAGTTCTGATGTCCGCTAACACCGGGGAGTGCTCCACGGGCCAATGGAACCCTGCCAAATGATGGAATTTCCGCCTAGCAGATAGAATCGATTTGAGCGTCCCTTCATGGGTTATGAGTGCCGCAAATCTGTACACTGTCGCTGGACTCGTCGGCAAGAACGGTATGTTCAAGAGCTCACAAAAAGCTTGAACCGTCCTTGCGGAAGACATGTATCTAGTAAGCGAGCTGCCCATGGAAGCCCCGATCTTCTTGAGCATCAGTACGTCAACAATGGCATGAACATCGAAACCCTCTTATTGGGCAGAGCGTAGCATGTCAAGCTGCTCCCGCGGAGGAGCGTTCGCACTCGTCCTCCGGCGCTTGCCCGGAACGGCACCGATAAAGTCACACACGGCGTCAGGCGCGGCTTGCGCCAACAAGATAGCCGACTCAAGGTTCTTCAGAACATCTGTATCGGCGCGACCCCTCACCAGCAGCAGCCAAGGCCGCATCTTCACCAGCAATGGAGATGCAGCGACGTGTCGCGCAAATTCGCCAGGGTCAGCACCCCGGATATCTTCAAAGGAACTCCAACCCGCGGCAGCGAGCGCGGCACGGGCGCCCGAATGCAGACACTCCCAGGACACCGCGAACGGCTGGCCCTGCACGGAGCTTGGCACCAAGGGTGGGACTGGCGCACGCCAGCTGCCCGCCGACTGGGGCGCCAGCGATGGGGTCCGAAGGCTTGCAACCCTCGACCGCCTCGCAAGACGGAGAGCCGCCGACGCCGCCGCTGCACGCTGCTGGAAATCAGCGGGCGCTGCCAGGCGCATCGCCCCTCCCGAGATCGAACGGCAGATCCTGGAATCTTGGAGCCAAGACGGACGTCCACGCCACGGCGTACGGGGCCCTAGCGGACAATGACCTGCGGCCTCGTGCCTGGCCCGGCACGCATCTGCAATCGCTTTCTCTCGCCGACATGCGCAAGGCACGGCGAGCCGAACGAAGAGAACTGACCGAGGCCAGCACGGCAAGCTGCAGCATCACGGGAAAGTCTGTTTAGGGATCGAAAGTTCCGGAACATGCATCGCGCAGGAACCGCACTTCCTGAAATCTTGTCGCCTCGCGGGTCGGCAGAGACCGAACTCTGACACGCAAGTCTTCCGTGCATCGCCGGCCGCATGCACGATGACAGACAGACGAAACGAACTCCCCGAGGCCCAGCACAAGCAGCCATCAAAGATGAGTCCTGGGATCGAGAGCTCCCGAAAAAAAACAGAATAAAGGAACCACGCATCTTGACATTATTTTCGGTGCATCGCTGGTCGCAAGCACGAGCGAGACACAGGTCGCACGTTCAGCAAGCATGCACAGAGAAAGCCTTCACATGCGAAGGCCAGACTCGCGGCGCGCAACGGGCCGCCAAGCAATGCAACGCAGAGCAATGCGGTCAACACTCAAAAGCGGCAGACCAAACAAAGCAGTCACATGTTGCCGCTCCCGCGGAGGACCCAGACGAGTCGCAGCACATATTGCAGACCAGCGACCGTCTCATGGGGGAACGACGAAGCACCAGCCATACACCCCGAAAGGGTCACGAACGCTCACAAGAGCCAAGCGCGGGCGCCGAACCCTTCGCCATGGAAAAGTCACTCGCCCCCCGCCCAGGAGGAGGGAGAAGGGGAAGGCAAGGGAGGAGGACAGGAACAAGGAGGAAGGAGAGGGCCCGAGGGAGGGGCAGATGGCAACGGGCATCAGCAGGCAGCAGCAGACCCTTCCGACAGCTCTCTCTGCACAATGGGTTCCCTGCCCGTCGCGCCATTGCCCTGGCCGAGTCCCGTGAGCAAATCGGACTCGCACTCGGGGCCCCCGGACTCCCCGAACAAGGTGAGGGAGGGGAGCGAGAAGGATGGACGAAATAGACGGCGATGACAACGAAGGCAAAGACGACGACGGTGACGATGACGGTGTAGATGCTTTGCGAACCAAAGATGTTCATAATCGTATTGCTGGTGCTGGGCCGCTGCTCGATGCTGCTCGGGCGGCCGGGCGGGCGGCCTCGTCCACGGCGCGGCCGGGGAGTGAGAATTGGAGGCGGCGCAGGCCAAACCTCGGAAGAAAAAAGCGGAGGTGCGCGGGCCCAGGCCCGCGCGGAAGACCCGGGAGGCGCATGCCCTGCCCAGCGACGACCTGTGCCCTCCCAACACATACGTAGCAACCGAGTCTGGCCCGAGCCCCAGCATATTCAGCACTCGTCTTTGGATGGGCAGCTAATGTCCAAAACCGGTTAAACAAATGATGACCCCCCCCCCTCCCCCGCCCCGGATCCCGACTGCCATTACTTCGCATTCGAAAACTATTTGTTTATCTGTTGCCCTGGGAAAAATCCATGGATGCCGATCGATGCCACTTGTATTTACCTTGGTACCAGGGAGAATGCCGATGTGAGATTGTAGCTTGGTGTAGCCCATTATGTCTAGCCTGGAGGGCGCGCCGGCCCTCGTTGTAACCTGGTGTAGCCCCGCTTGCGTGGCCCAGAGGGGGGATGGCCTTCCTCGTATCCTGGTGTAGCCCCGCAAATTTGGCCCAGAGGGCGGTGCGACCTTCGCTGTAACCTGGTGTAGCCTTGGTGCGGCCTCGAACTGAGCGGCTTGCTGAGGGCCTTTCTGGCCTGGAGGGCGATCCGACCTTCGTCGTAACCTGGTCTCGCCTCGACTCCCCGCCTCCGAAAACAAACGTTAGCTGCA